AAAACAAAGTTTATATCCTAACTAGTTGTCCCAGAAGGACTCAACCGAATCATACCTATTAGCAGTTTAAAACCAAAAAATTCACGACTGTAAAATTTCCATCTATCATAGCACTGCATTTAAGTTATTAACATTCGATAACTTACATTAACTTATGTTGCCCTTGCAGTTTTTTGTAAGGTATCAGTCAACTGTGCTTATTCTTTCTCTGGGTCCATAGAGAACATGTTTGGCCCCTGACATAATGACTCTACCCCAAGTGACATGGCTTTCAAATGTTCAACTACTTTCTGGCCAAAAATCTATCTAAAGATAATATGCTAAATCAACCACTCTCTTCTGTTTTGGGCACTAAGTCAAAAGTGCAGTTTCTCTACAGTTTAGAACATGAGTGTCCTTTCATAAATAATTACCAACATGTGTAAACTTTCCAGTGACTGAGCACATGGGCCTGTAAATGTGAGTTTAGGAGTCTGCTATCATTGGGCGCTTTAACTCTTTTCCCCTGAATGAGATAATGATTTAAAGTATAGAAAATGTCTGGCAGAAACAAAGGGGAAACACGAGAACCCAGGGACTACAGCAATACCACGAATATTATACCACTGAACTCAATAAGTACTAACCTAGCAAGATAACAATTCTAGGCTGTGATACATATCTCAGGAAAGAACTGTCCTACAAAGTTTACTTAACAACATAAATATTTGGTGATTGTCTTAGTTACTTTTCTCATTGCTGAGACAAAATAACCAACACTCAAAGGTAAAGGAGGGACAGTTTATTTCAGCTCACAGTTTTTAGAGATTTCAGTTTGTAGTTCAATTCATGGCTCCAGGAAAGGGTGGTATGGCAGAGGGGCATCACAGAGAAGAAACAGTTCATGGCAGGCAGAAGGCAGCAGAGGAAGTAAGCTGCAAGGGAATCAGTAGAAGCAGCCTGTCTTTCCCTTTTATCCCTTGCAGGCTACCTGTCTTTTGGGTGATGCCACCTGCACCCAGAGTGAGCCTTCCTTAATCCCACGATCACACACTTAATCCCAGCATCACACGCCCTGGATCCAGCCACCTGTGAAAAGCCCCACTTATGAGCACATGAGGCTCTGGGGAACATCTAGATACAGGTTATAACAGTGCTATTTCAAAAATATTTAATGACAAGTATCCTCTAGGCATCAATCAATAAATATCCACAGGATAGGTTTGGGTAGTACTGAAGGGCTGTAGGTTTTTACTAACTTGTATATAAACATTTCATTGTTATGACAGTATGGCCACATTAGAATATCAGATTTGGCTCTGAATTTGAGAAACTTTCAGAGATAGGAGTGGTCAGGTGTCACTAGTTGTACGGAAATAAAATTCCAATATCATACAATCCCCAGCCATGTTCTTTAGGTTAATCTACTTGTTCATTTCTATGGATTCTTCAAGAATCACTCAAGGCATCATCCCACAGAGGAAACTTCTGGATTTCTTCCTTTCCCTCACCTATCCAAAACTGGACTAAATGTTGATCTCTATAACACCAACTTAATTTCTATCACAACATCTGCAAACATAGCAAGTTAAAAGTATGTCATTCCTGGCTGTCCCCCTTTCTCAGGTCTCATATAGTACACAAAGACATCCATTAGATATAAGCAGAACATATATCTGCCTTGTTCCACAATTGTCCACATTATAGAACATGCCTAGAGCAAAGTACTCCATCAATAAGTGTATGCACAAGGAATAAAGCATGCAAAGGGCTTTCTGGATGTCAAATGCCCAGGCCCCAGACTAAGTGATCTGATGCATGTTAGCAACTCCCTAGGTACTTCTGATGCAAATAGTCCCAGAATATTTATATTGCCTGAGACTACCTCTCATATGTGTGGCACTTCACTAAGTTGTTAACCTTGTTTAATAGTTTTCTGGGCTTGTTGTGACAAAGCACATATATGCGGGATGGCTTTAACAATAGCTGCTTACTGTCTTTCAGCTCTGGAGGCTGGAAAGCTGACGGAGTTGACTTCTTTTGAGGGCTATGAATGAAAGATTTGTCTCAGGCCCTCTCCCTGGCCCTTTGCCTGATCACGCCATGTTCTCCCTGTAGTCACATCTTTGTCCAGAGTTCCCGTTTTCTAAGGCCATCTAGTACATACTAGATTAGGAACTCACCCTTCTGACCTTACCCTAACTAATTATATCTGTAATGATCTTATTTCCAAAAAGGTCACCTTCTGAGGAACTAGGATTTCAACATATGAATTTAGAGGAGGGCATAATTCAAACTGTAACACCACTGTTCATTTACTTTGCAGCTCTGTGGCTCCTCTCCACCAAAGATCTGTTATAGTACTCTGAGAACTGTACTCTGAGTACATGAGAAATTCTTAAGAATTTTACTAATTTTATTATGTCACTGTTAGCTAAAGTGGCACGCTGGCATCACATAGATACTTAGGTTTACACAGCATTATGACATTTATAGACTGGATTGATTAAAATTTTCACAAGAATGTATGTGTTCAAGACACATAAGAATATGCCAACTAGAGTGCTTTCTTGAAACATTATTGCACAGTTTAGATTTTTTATAAAATAATATTCTTCAATGTATTGATCTTTAAAGGTTAATTCAGATTGTCTTGAAACAATGTGTTTTTAGGAAAATAGATATATATGACTGTTCTATGGTATAGATGGACAAATTTTAAATAGATGTAGGAAAGATGAGCTTATTCCTTGGAAGAGTCACTGTGACTATACAACAAAAATGCAGACCACATGAAATCCATCACAAACTGCAGAACAAAAAAAAGGTTGTACAGGAAAGTGACATTTTGGGTCTCAAAGATAAATTAAACCTCAAAACTACATCCTCAAGCAAGTAAATAAAACACTAAGCCTTCTGCTTGCCATGGTGATAAGGATCTATATTCCAAATTTATTCAACAGATATTTATTAAGAGTTTACAAAATGCTGAAATCTTTGATGAAGAAGGACGCTTGGACCTTGACTTCAAAGAGCTCACTGTCGAGGTTTAGGGATGGAGGTATAAATAAATGGCTCTGATCAAAACCAGAAAACCACACTGTATCAGGACTTGTAATGCCTAACCATGGTCCTGAAATGTTTCTAATTTGAAATATTTAGCCCCATAATTTTCATGACTGTTTTCATATTAGGCTGACCTGTCCTAATTACTTTCATTCTTCCTTCCTTTGTTCGTGTTTATGTGCCTTTTTCTTTTCAGTCACTTAGTATCATAAATAACAACCCTATATTTGTAATATACAAAGGGTAGTCAAAACAAAGCACATGCTTAAATTTTTAAAAAAAATATTACAGCGAATGGCACATTGTTATTTATCCATCTCAAAATACCTCTCATTTCTTCAAACAGATGCCATCATTCTTGCTACTTTTTGAAGCAGTTCTTTCACATCTTTACAGAGTGATCAAAAATGTAGTGAATGCTGCTGCTGAGTGAACGGCAGCTCATAAAAACTTCACAGTGCATGCTCATCCATTTTATTCACCAGAGCTGACAGGGGGTGAGTTCTGACTCATCTCCAAAGTCAGAATGACCATGAAAGGTGAACTATTTGAACTGATTCAGGACATCAAGGCAGCCATGGCAGAGCAACTAAGGACACTCAGCAAAGAGAGCTCCAGAACTGCTGCAGAAAAAGGCAAGAACCAGAGGATAAGTGTATTTAAAGTAAGGGTCACTTTTTGAGGGGGATTCATGGCAAGGTGTCTTTTACTGTAATGATTTTTTATTTAAACACAACCATATTTTTCAATCACATCTTGTACACTGAAAGTTTAACAGACTTTTATTTTTTTCATAGATTTTTAAACTAGAGTTTTTACTCATATACATAACTCAATCTCTCTGTATGTCAGCTCCTCTCTATCATAATGGAGATTATAACAGTATCTCCCACAAAGCATCATGTTGTACTTCAAAAGAGATAGTGTATATTAAGTGCTTAGCGTAATATCTGGCACTGAATTTTAGTTGTTTGCCTTCCCTTCTTCTGAGTATTAGAAGTCCTGGATATTTCTTATTATGCTTTTTCCTATGCATTTTGTATTTTTCTTGCTATTATAAACTGGTAGAGTCTTTGGAAATATTGCAGTAATGAGAGCGTTTGGAATGGAATCTTATTTTACAGTCATACTGTCATTATTTCATACAACTTTGGAAGTTTTCGGAAAGGTTAAATGGTTATTTCTGCATGCCTTTCATATTGTGTGAATAATTTACCACATGCTGGTACTTCTGCTTTATATCAGCTTATTTCCACTAATCAAACAAAAATTTATTACATAACCAACTTTCACATATAACTAAACAAAGCCTTCACCATTTCCCAACCACATGAGAAGAATTCATTTGAGATATTGTGTTTGATGCTAGGCGTGTGGAATGAGAAGGATGGGGATTACAGGGATATTTTGTAGTTGTTCCAAGTCACCAAATGTATTTTGATCTTAGCTTTTCCACAGCATGTCATCTGATTAATGAGATTATGTAATTTGAAGCCTTTAATAGATGTTTTTAGGGATGATAACATAACATCTCTACAAATAAATAATCATTAAAAATCATAATAATTCCCCTGGTCAAGGTCATTTGATTTAAATTAATTTAATGATTCTAACAGAGTCGGGTTGTTAAGCAAATATAAATGATTACTGAATGTTATAATTATATCACATTCAACATAATCAGATAGAATGCACTGTTGGGGTTGTATACATCAAGTATAAGAATAAAATAAAATAGAGAACTAAAGTGTTTTTTTTTTTCCAGAAAGTTCATCCATTACCTTATTTTCTTATTATGCTTGACTTCATATCCTCTTCCTATTACATATATCAGATTTCAGAAATATTATGACACACAGATCTGTTGTCTAACTACAGTGGACTTAATAATTCCTTTGCCGATTTGAGGTGTAGAATCCAAGGCAAATAGCTATGTTGCTTCTTCTCTCTTTCAGGAACTTCTGGGACATGCTTGGAAGAATTATACTGCTGTTCTTTTCACTCATGCAGAAAAAATAGAAGAAGCTGGGTTCAGTGAAAATGAATACTTACACGAGGCCTCTGATACCCTGCTAGCCCTGCTAAATTCTGTACAGCAGAGATATGTTTTCCAGTATAAAAAAGCAAACTCCTTTAATGAGCAGAGAATGAAAATCTTAGAAAGAATTGTGGAATTTATAAAAGAAAATAATTACCAAGCTCTCACCTTTGAATAAAATTTAAGTGAAAGCAGCATGGGGGGCTGGGAGTTGGAAACCTGGCTTTAGAAAATGCTGTAGGCCAAGAGAATTCCCTGTGGGCCAGTGAGAGCACAGGTTTGTAGCACCACTTTGGGAAGCTGTACGTTAAAACGAACATCAGGAATTCAAGATTTCTAATGCAAATCTCACGATATAAAAATTATTCCCTTAAGTCTGTATCCCACAAAAAGGTATATATTTGTGCGGTAAAAGATGCAGGTATGAAACTGTTTACAGTACTGTTACTCATAAGAGCTGAAAATCCGTTAACTATCCAAAGGTCCGCGCAGTAGAATGAATATGTAAATTGAGGCATATTAAACACAATGACACATTAGAGAGGAATGTAGACAACAAACTCTGCTATATGTAAAATGTTAATTAATTGTCCAAACATAATGTTGAGAGAAACAAACCAGATGTGAAAGAGTACAGAGTCTGTGATTCCGTCTGTATAAATTTCAAAAATAGTCAATACTAAAACAATCTAGACTACTACTCGGATGCTAGAAGTGCCGGGACTCAGGAGAGTGGTTACCCTTGGGGAGGGGACAATAAAAAAGAGAAAGTACTTGGGCTGGGGTCTGAGATTTGGGTAATGATCTGGTTCCTAATATGGAAGCTGCACATGTACGGTGTGTTCACAAATGCTAGTGATTTATGAGCTACTTAGGATATGATATATTTAAATAATAGCTAAACATGAATAATGATCAGTGTTTCAAAAACTAGCCCCATTGCTTACTTGATGTTGCTAGATGGAAAACTGCTTAACCTGGTCCTATTCTGTTTCCTCATTTGGAATACCTAACTTCATAGTTATTGTAATGAAAAAATGACCTGGCACTTGGTAGATGCTCAGTAAGTATTAACTTTGCTTTGCTCTTTCATAAAATCTGTTGTTCCTGTTTAGGTTTAGAAATATTAGGCAAGTCAGGTGTGGTGGCACACACCTGTAATCCCAGCACTTGGGAGGCTGAGGTAGGAGGATTGTTGCAAGTTGGAGGTCAGCCTGGGCTATAAAGTGAGCTCAAGGCCAGTCTGAACTGCATAGTGAGACCCTGTCTCAAAAAGACAAAACAAAAAAAACAAAAAAAAAAAAAAAACGGAAATGTTAGGCAAAAACTCAGAATAAGCTTTCAATAAGAACAGAATAAGAACTGGGATAACTGACTCCAAAAACCATAATGAAAGAAGTAGCTTTCTCTGCCTTAGAAGGTTGCTCACTTCGGCATTTCGGAGATCTTCAAGATGTTCTCAAGGGCAGTGGTGGGAATTGAAGTAGCTCTAGTTGATCATAAGAGCCAAATCCTTCCATTAACAGGTCAAAATCAAATCACTTTCATATATATATAGCCACTAATTTACAACTGGTTTTCATAAATTCAAGTTTTTATTGTTTATGGTGTAAAATTTGGCATATTTTCCACTATAAATGAGATTATAGCTGGTGGTTATTCTCCTCGACCAGTCCTCAAAATCCTACTTTAATGTTTAGAAATAGTTAACTTTAGCACATGTGGGATTTATTAAATAATTCATCATTTTCTTACATAAGTGGTAGGGAAATAGCTAGATATTGGGATAGAGATAAGCATATACCTCTTGGGTCTATTTCTGAATCTATTCTGTAGTCTCCTTTTCCATTACTTATTTTATTTATATTGTTGTTAATCCAGGATGATATCATTATAATGGGTTTGTAATGCTGAAACATAGTATTTGTATATTTTTGTTATATTATGGTAATTCAATGTATGTATATAATGTGCAATAAAGCATTTCCATTTTTTCAAACATTAATGATTTAGGGTGCTGCGTTCAGGGCTGTGCACCACATCACTACTCTGAATTGATGGAACAAACTTTAAAAAGGCAAACACTTTATTTGAAAAGAGAGAAAAGGAGAAGATAGAAGCTGTTCCAGTGAATAGTATCCGGGCGGGGAGACTTTGAAAAAGGCAGACACCTGCAAGCCTTTGTCCTCAGCTTCCCTTTATTATGTTTTGAGGGACTTCCCCTACCAGGAACTTGTCACAACCTGACTGTCTTCCCAGGGACCCAAGACCACAACCCAGGCACCATCTCCTGCATACCCTGCATGTACATTCCTAGGTGGCCCCACTTGTCCTTGTCAGGGACTTATCTCTGGGATTTATAGGTTGATTGGGAGGAAGCTTACATAAGAGGCAACTTAAAATTAGTGAATGACAGGATATGTGTTAACCAGTTCAGCAGTACAGTGACCCCAGTGTGGGAATAGCGCTGCCCCTAATCTCCTCCATATTTTAAGGGTGGGGAGGGGTGACTAGGCTGACATGCCTGCCTGTCTTCCTCCTCTTCTACCTGTCAAATCTCTCATCTTGTGATTGCTCCCTCAGTGAAGTTTTAAATCTTTCTGGTCAGGATTAGCCAGAAAACCCACTGAGGCCCTTATTTAATGTTTTCTTCCAGTCTACAGACCTCTTTCCCTACATTAGGAATTTAATACTTGTGTAGTCATTACAAGATATATCATAGATTGTTTTAACCAATAATTGCCCTGCTGTGGTAAAGAAGAAGTAATTCCTCTGCTCTTTCTCTGTATCAGCTGATGCCTAGGAGTTCAAGTTTTCCTTATTTTCTTTTTATGAAAGATTTCTGGTCACTCAAGCATTTATTGAATTCATTCACTGAAATACATTCTCTGAGCAGCTCTTTCCAATTTTCAAAAGGAAATATATATTTATATATATCAAAGGAAATATATATATTATATATTATATTATATATATTATATATAGTGATTGGAAAATACAGTGAATGTTTAACTTAAAACTTTCTTACATTAACAGACATATTGATATTATTCTTCCTCATCAATAATACTCCCCCTTGCTTTGAACACCTGAATTCTAGCATAGAACTATAGGACACTGAATTTTACACATTCTCCTCTTACCACTACACAGCAGTAATCCCAGCTCTGTATGGTAATCATCATGGATGCAGGCTCATCATGCCAACTGGTAATAGGGTGGTTGAATCCTACGACTGTGGCACTGAAGTGAACATCTTGTGGCTATGTTCCACCTGAGCGTGGACTGCCCAGCTATTTCTGGATGACAGTGCACATGTACCCATTCAAAAAACTAGCCATTTCTGGAGATGATTACAACTCACAACAAAAGAACCATGTGAGTGGGATTAGCTCTAGGCCACATAGATGATGCCCAGCTAGTCTGTCTTTGGTGTCCTGCCACCTTTCCTAGTAGTCTATTATTATTTCAGTCTTCACTCATGTCTTTCCAGATGCCAAATATGTTTGCAATCTGGAGGCCAAAACTTTTTATTAAACTTTGTATTTGAAAGTACTTTGAGCATTTTAGAGGATTGTAAGATAGTGTACTTCATATTTTTGTACAGCTGTGGTTAGCCTTACAGCATACGATTCGGGGGCATTAGTGATTACCTCCAAAACCTACAAGTGCTGGCTCTTGCTGGGTTTATTCTTCTACATACAACACCTCAATTAGCAATTTCATTTCTTTTTTTTTTTTTTTTTTCTGTACCGAGAATTGAACTCACAACTTTGCGCTTGCCAGGCAGGCGCTGTGCTGCTGAGTGTTTGTAACTCTGTATTGTTTGTATTATTCTTTTGCTATTTTGTAAATAGTTGTTTGTCTGTTAATGGTTTCCTCCTTTTACATTTAAAATTTAAAAAAACATTAGCAATTTCAATTTTCTTCCTTTTTTTAAAAAGGTCTATTTATCTATACTCTGCCCTTTTCCTTAAAGAATTTGCTTAGTTTTTCCCTTTGCTGATTTTCAGACCTCTATCAGTTTGGTTTTTTTGTTGTTTTGTTTGTTTGCTTGTTTTGTTTTGTTTTTTACATATAAAGGCTATTTTCAAGTGATACTGTTATTTACTAGTTTCTCACTCAAAGTTTATTTCAAAAATAAGTTTCTTTTCACAAGCATCAGAAGTTTTTTCAATGCTGCTTTAAGATTAAATGTTATCTTTCCATATGAAAACTGAAGGTTATACAAAGAAGTTATTTCAACCAAAATCACTCTCTTTCGCTGAACTTATTGAAAGTGATTTTTAGTTTGCACTTTTCAAAGTGAAATTCAGTCATAGTGTTGCCTTTGGATGAATATACACTGTTCTTTCCAAATTCTCCAGGTGTGAAAATTTGAGTGGATATTAAATGAACAGATATCAGCCAAATATGTAACCTTAGGGCTGAAAACATAAGTAGATGTGTATATTGAAGGCTTTCTCTATGGGATGTATGATATTCTGAGGTAATTTTCAAAAAGAAATGTAAAGCTTTGTCAGAATGACCTTGACAGAAAGGCTTACCATGCAAACGCCACAAGGAAATGAACAGACACTAAGCACTACTAGTTGGACCATTCTACAGGGATTACGAAGCAGTGGGAAAGACAACAGTTAGCCATCCACTAAAAAGAATTATTCTTTTTCTGCGCAATTACTGAGCCCCAGGCTTGTTTCTATCCCGGTTGCTAAGGACAGTAGCTTGCCAGAGAGGAAATGATGTTGATGATGATATAAAGTAACACTTACACACATTTTTTACTTAAAAACTAGAGAATTGGGAATAAAGTGTGGTAGGGAGTGGAAGTTAGGAACGAAGAAACAAACAAGGGAGTACATAAGGATGAAAAGATGCAATATACAATAATTAATTAATTCACACTCTTAAATTCCAGATGGCTCTCTTTTACACCCACATGTTTTTGGTGTTATACTCATATGAATTATCTCTGCCAAGACTTATTCAACAGGAAAAGGGTAACTATAAAATGTGCATAAACACTAAATCTATTGGAAGAGAAAGTAGGTAAAAACCTTGAAGACATAGGGGTAGGCAGAAAGTTCATGAACAAAAACCAAACTGCACGTGAAACACTTCAAAGAATCAACTGGGATCTCATCCTACTGAAAAGTTTCTGCACATCTAAAGAAATCA